GAAGCTGACCACTGACATAGTGATGGAGGCGATCTTCCATCGCGGACTTCTGCTCAAGCGCCTCTTGGTCCAGAACACCGACAGAGTTCTTGCGTTTTATCGGGCTTGTGGCGTCGTCTTCCTCGCCATTGGTGGATGTTTCACCCCAGTCGCTTCGGAAGCCTATGCTACGGCTTGTCGAAGACCGGCGGAGAGCCTGACGCTTGGTTGGCTTGCCTGTCGTAGTGAAAACATCGTCAAAGTAATGGTCGGCAGCACCTCCTGGCGTGCGTGGCGTTTGTGGAAGACGACAAGTCATACTACACATTGTTAGTCAATGTATGTTACGAATGCTGATTGAACTTACCCAGTGTCATGAATCATCTTCGCAATCAGTCCGGTCCAGCCGCACTGATGTGTCGCTCCCAAGCCACGGCCGGTATCACCATCGAAGAACTCGTGGTACCACATGTAGTCTTTCCAGTTCGGGTCAAAGTCCAACATTTCGTTGCCGTCGTTGATGGCTCTTCTACCATCATCACCACGAGCAAACAAATGCTGAAGACGATGCTGAATCTCCTCTGCGACGTGACCGAGATGCATGTAGTCACCCGACCCAGTAGGGCACTCTACCTTCAGATCGTTGCCATAGTAGAGATGGAATCTCTGACAAGATTCTATTAGTAGGAAGTTGACGGCTAGCCAAATAGGACCTCGCCAGTTGCTGTTGCCACCAAAAAGTCCGCTGTCCGAGTCACCGGGAAGGTAAGCAACTTCGTACTTTTGGCCGTTCACGTCCATGGAGTAGGGATGGTCCTTGTGGTATTTCGAAAGCGATCGGATACCGTGGTCAGCAAAGAACTCATCCTCGTCCAACATCCTCTTCATTATGCGCTTCAGTCGGTCTTCATTAACAAGTGACAAGAGCATACGGTTTCCTTGGCCACGTTTTGAGAGCGTATGGATATTGCGCTTCGATTGTTCCGGGCGGTTGGCTATGAACCATTCGACTCGTTTCTTGAAACTTGGCAGGCGGTTGATAACCTCCGGCTCCAGTGTCATGGTTGAGTAGAGAGGGATGAGACCGACCAGAGAACGGACGGGCATCTGGTGAGACCATGGGCCACCCCAAGAGATGGCATCGTAGTAGAAACCGTCCTCCTCATTCCACAGTGGTTTCGACTCGCCCTCGCTGCGGAACTGCATGGCATCGCTGATCATCAAAAAGTGCTCGAAAAACTTGGAGGCCATATCTTCGTAGATGCGTCGTCGCTTGGCAAGCTCGAGGCAAATGTTCAACATGTTCAAACAATAGAAGCCCATCCAGCCAGTACTGTCAGCCTGTTCCAGGACACCACCAGTCGGTAAAGGATCCGAACGATTGAAGAGACCAATGTTGTCGAGACCCAGGAAGCCACCTTCAAAAATGTTCTTTCCGTCAGCATCTTTCCGGTTGACCCACCAGGTGAAGTTTAGCAATAGCTTCTGGAACACGCGCTCGAGGCAGTCAAAGTCCTCGCGTCCGTACATCTTGCGCTCGATCTTGAACACCCTGAAAAGCGACCAGGCGTGTACTGGAGGGTTCACGTCGCCAAAATTCCATTCGTATGCTGGCAATTGTCCGTTCGGGTGCATGTACCATTCGCGTGTGAAGAGGTCCAGCTGCTTCTTGGCGAAGTCTGGGTCGATCATGGCAAGTGTAATGCAGTGGAATGCACTGTCCCAGGCCGCGAAGAAGGGATACTCCCAAGAGTCGGGCATAGAAAGGATATCGTCCAAGTACATGTGCTTCCATTCGTTGTTTCGTATAGCCTTCCGACCAGGTGGTGGAGGAGGCATGCTAGGGTCACCATTCGCCCACTGGTCCCAGATGAAGTGGTAATATTGCTTGCACCACATCATACCGGAAAAGGCTTGACGCTGAATGTTGCGCAGATCGTCAGCAATTGGAAGGGGGCTTATTCTGTAGTAGAACTCATCGGCCTCAGCGCGGCGCTGTTCGATGATGTCGTCAAACATTTCTTCGTCAAGGAACCCGTCGTTTCTCTTCGACAGTCTGAAGCGGACAACAGCGCACTCGCCTGGCGGGACACCATCGCCTTCATCAAAAGCGTACCAGGCGCCACACTTGGTGCCGGTGTTCTCAGGGTTGACAGCGTCCAGCTGCTCATCTACGATGCGGCGATGGATTCCGTCTTTGACAAACGGAACTTTGTTCTCAACATTCCATAGCCCCTTGTAGTTGGTATCGTTGTCGGTGAAGAGAAGTTCAGGCTGAACATCCTCGCCACTTGGGCCGGTGCCAGGGGACGGTGAAAGCTGGAAGTAGCGGTCCCCTAGCTTGTGATGTTTTGACTGCGCCGTTGTTGGACCAATCTTGGTGATGGAGGGTTTCAGCTTCTCGTCCTCATGACCCCATGCCCAGGTGTTCCTGAACCAACAGTGAGGTACAATATGCAGCGGCGCTGGTTCTGGTCCCCGGTTGTAAGCCGTGACTCGGAAGCACAACTCCTCGGGATCGTCTGCCTCCTTTGCAGTTTCAATGAAGATATCCCAATACCGATCGTCATCGAAGATGCCGGTGTCGACGAGGTTGTACTCCTTGTCCAATCGCGTTCGTTTTCCATTCGTCTCGATGAGGTCTTCGTATGGGAATTTTCGCTGAGGGAGTTTGTAGAGGAACTTCATGTACGAGTGCTGCGAGCGGAGTTAGCAGCATATAGAAGATGAGCCATTCCAACTTACAGTTGGTGTGTTGTCCAGATGGAAATGACACTCCTTGAGTGACTCGCCGTGGTTACCCTGGGGGTTCGAGAGACCGAAAAGGCGCTCCTTCAGGAAATCACTGCACAGAAGTTAGTATACATTTCACATACTGCATGCTGCACGCTTACTCCTTCTCATTCCAGAAAGCAAAGGCAATGTTCTGGAAACCGTGCGAGTCGGACACACCAGCAATACCGTCTTCGCCCCAGCGGAAGGCGCGCGACCGTGCCATGTCGTGCGTGAAATCTGTATAGCATCAGTAGCTGAGGATTGTGTCGGTCAAGCGTACTTACGGCTCCAGGCATCTCCATCAGGGCTAGAGAAACTGGTTAGTAGCAGACAATGGCGGTGGCAGCAAGGGTACTCACGAGTAATCTTCGCGGACTGTGTACAGATTAGATTGGCTCGAGCATGTTGATTAAGAAGACTGACCAGTTGCCCACTGCCTCTCGGCAACGTAGGGACCCCATCGCTTCCAGTAAGCGGTGCGTTCCCGGTCCTGCTTCAGACGCTTCTCCTCTTCGCAGAGGTATTCTTGATTCTCAATGAGAACCATCGTGACAATGTGTGTCGGAGTGGTGTAGGAGGGGTGCTACTTGCGAGAAGTGGGTGAGGTTTAGGCGACGGCGCGTGGAGCGGTGTCGAGGGAATTATTTCCTGCAGGCAGTATGGAGAAAACAATGGGGTAATCAGACGATCGAGATAGTGGAGAAGAGGTGGGTGGGGTAATGTATACCAGATGAGGTGTTTGGAGAGGAAGTCCAATGTTTGGAGAAGATGCACAGAGGAAGAGACTGAATGACGGGAAGGTTTCTGGCAGGGCTCGTGTCTTGGTCGTAGCTACCACAAGCCGTCGACGCAGGAACTCGCGATGCATCATAGGACGGCAACCGTGCATCGCGGGACTTATCGCGAACGGCTGACCTAAGCCCACTCTAGTCTAACGCCCTGCTCGGTCAGGTTTCAATCCCATGTCAAACGCGCCGCAAGGAATTGGCCAGAAGCTTGGAAATGCCCATACCCATGGCGGCAGCAGCGTCGGCTACACGTGTCGGCCTTCTGTTGAGCCGCCTCCAAAATCTCTGCGTCAAAGTGTTGAACGCGCTTGGAACAAGCAACCACGATAAAGACGTTAGTCTCCGGGCCTCCCCACTGTGCCATCGCCGATCCCAACTGGCCAGCCTCGGAGGCCTTCTGGGGTATGGAGCTGTGACAGCGGACCCCGGCATTGCGATTCGCATGGCACCAGTATGCCATTCTGAACGCGGTCGTGTCCCTGCTTCCGCGGCATGCAGCACAGTTGAGAACAGTTGACATGCGCATCGCGTTCTACGCTCCAGACGCCAATTCACGTGATGTACCACCGACAACCATGGGCATACCCGCACCGATGCATGTCCTGGAGAACACGCTTAGCCTCTGACGCTAGGTTCAGTGTGTGTGATGACGTCACTGATCGCGAGTTGCTAGGTGCGGAATTCCGAGTTTGTCGGAATGAGTTGTGCTGTGAAAATGCAAACATGTGAACTGAATCATGACGGTTGAGGACAAAGCATAGACACCGGAAGACACGCTAGCAGCCAGCCACAGTGCTCTTGCTTACCATGGTACCCTTTTGTTGGACCAGTTGCGAGAGAGTGCTCAACAGCCATCTTTGATACATCTCTCGCGGCATTGCGGTCGCATAGAGTCTCTCCTTGAGCAATGCACACATCAGTTGGAAATGTTTAGTTGTACACTTTAGGTCTTGTCGTCAACTCTGGATTTGAAAAGTTTTCCCTAGCAGCACTCGTATGCTACATGATAGTTGTAGCCAAGTCCACTCCTGTGCAGATGCCGGCTGATTGTTCTATATTCTCCAGTGGTCGATAGTTGGTAAATTATGCAAGGCAAAAGTGACAGGCTGTTGATCACTATAGAAATAGCGCCCAGACAAACCTCAAATGACTGAATTTGAGCATAGCAGGAACAGACTTCCAACTAAATAATGATTCGCGGGTACTCGGTAGTTTGGACGAGGAGATGCGAATTCTTTTTTTTTTCTTTGGAGAAGGTTTGCAGGCTACATTGCATGACATATCGTGGTTGAGCCGCAGGAGGCAGAGAGTGTAGAGGCCGGGAGCGTGAGGGCTAGCGCCAAAAGCCCACGGCGATTCTTCGGGCCGCGCCAATGATGGTCAGGTACGCGGCTCAGCTGTACCAAACAATACACGTACGTTCCTGTAGTTCGACAACCTCAGACACTTTGACACAAAATGCTCGTCTCTCTGACAGTCGGAAAGGTCGACGCCGGAGTAGCCGTGCTACTGACCGAAGACAAGCGTCTTGTGAGCCCCCTCAATGCCTCGCAGCGCCCAGCTCAGCGCAAACGCACCCTTGCAGTTCATCCTGGCTGACGTAGAGCTAGATCGAGTTCCCCTCCATATTGCTACCCCCGGATATCTCGTCTGGCTCTATGGTGGACATCGACGTGGGAAGGAACTACAAAGCCGAAGCCGACGCACAGAAAGCCTTCCACGAGCTCCAGTCTGAGATCTTCCGTACCTTTGGCCAGCGCACCCCCTCAGCCCCCGTCCTCAAGTGTCGCAATGCCACCCAGACCTCCGTCGTCCTCGAGTGGGATCCCATCGACATTGCGACAGCCGAACTGCGCAGCCTCACTCTATACCGTAATGGCAACAAGGCTGGCACAATACCCAAGCCGAGCGACGTACACAGCACCAAGCTCAGTGGCCTGGCAGTCGACACCGAGTACCAGTTTCACCTGGTTCTGAAGACTAGTGCGGGCACCTTCAGCAGTGAGAAGCTGTTGGTCCAGACACACAAGATGACAGACTTGTCTGGTATCACCATCACCCCTGGCCACATGCCCGCCGCTCTCCGCGAGTCGCTGCAGCGTTCCGTTGAACGAATCGGCGCTAAAATTGCGGATAACGTGCGCATCGACACCACGCACTTTGTATGCACTGAAGGCAGGGGACCGGCATGGGAAAAGGCAGTCGAGAATAACATCCCTGTAGTCGTGCCAGACTGGGTCATAGGCTGCGAGCGGGAAGGCAGAATTGTTGGTGTGAGGGGCTACTACCTGAACGCAGACCCCAGGTTACGAAGTGTCGGTCCGGGAGGCTCTCAGCAAGCACCTCAACAATCGTCACAGCAGCCCCAGCAACAACAGCAGCAGCAGCAACCTAGAAGCCCTGTTATGAGCCCGCGCACAGAGGTGACACCACCTACACCCGAGCAACCAAGGCGCGATCGCGATACAGACGGAGCAGCACCGCCCCCTCCACCACCAAAAGACAACGTCAGTGAAAAGAGCGAGCGGAACTCGATCGAGCCCAAGACGCAAACCGAAGAACAAAAAGCCCGAACCGAAGATCTCAAACCACAATCGGACCAGGAGAAACAGCAAGAGGACAGCGAAGAGGACGATTCCGAGCCTGAACCGAACGATGAGAAGTCTATAGAAGCAAGTTTACCGCAAAGGCCAAAGCCTGGGCAGCCATCGGCTGAAGACGACGGTGACGGAGCAAGCTTTCAGGACGTAGAGATTTGAGGCTAAATCACATTGCCGCGTTAATAGTGTTCAAACCTGGCTTTTCGGTCGAATCATTGATTGCAGCCAAGCTTATAGCATTTAATGATACCAATTCTTGGCACTAGGATGCGGAACCTCTGAGATCTTCGTGTATACGGCCACCCGGCGACTACAACTAGCTAGACTAGTCATAGGCACACAAGTCACATCACGGACCCATTCGCTAACGTACTTGAACGATTCTCATTGGACTGAACCAGCATGTCAGCCCTGTCTCCGACTACCCACCGGATGCTGACAGACATGCCCGGTCGAAGGATCGTGTAAATTCTTATTTAAATTTCACAATGTGCCGTCATGTATTAGTTCCTTCAACTGTCACACCCCCATGCTCGCGACCGCACAATCAAAATCGTAGCAATGGCCCTGTTCCAACTGCCCCCTCAAATAATAACACTGCAAATCCCACTCTTGTACCTAGTCAACGTTCTCACCCTTGCCGTTGGATCCAGGCGTCAATTGCTCCGTGTGAGCATTAGTCTACCACTTATTGTTTTACTCGTCACGCAGTCTCTGTATCGAGAATGGCATGCAGGCTGGGGAAATCACTATGCTATCAACTGCGGAGTATGGAGTTGCGTCTTCACTTATGTTGATTGGGTTTTACTGGGTAGTCCCGAAAAAGAAGGGTGGTACAAAATACAGTACGGCAAGGATGGGAAGAATGGAGATGAAAACAAACACAAGGACAATGATAAGGTGTCAAAGAAGGGTTACGAATATAAGCCAGGTAGTGCAGGAAGGACATTCCTGAGCAGAATGTGGTGGGCGCTTCGTCTCACCACAACGCCTCGCTACACAGGTTGGAGTAACCAAGTCAAGAACGTGTACATGGAAGTACCAGCCGACTACCCCCGTCTGTACGTACCATGATTTCCAGCTTTCCATTCCTAGCAGGACTAATATCAACTCAGCACCTTTGTCGCTCGCAAAACCCTGCGAGCCTTCATCTTCTACCTCATGAGAGACGTGATAGTCTCCTACTCCGCCGGCTCTCCTTATGGGTCCTGGGTCGGCATCCGCACTATTAAGCCTTTCCAACCCTTCCCACCGTCCTCGCCGTTTCTCACCCGTTTCTGGTACACTTGGATTCATATACTCCTCACAATGACATCAATGGAAATGGCAAACTCGGCTGTCGGTGCTGTGAGTGTAGCTACGCATTTCGCCAACCCACGGGACTGCCCTTCCCTCTTCGGCAAACTTGAAGACTTGTATAGTGTGCGTAGTGCATGGTCGAGGGTATGGCATCAGCAGTGTCGGCGCATCTGCTCCAGTCCTGGTACCTGGCTTACTAGGGATGTGTTGGGTTTGCGCAAGGGCTCTTTCGCGTCCAAATATGTCCAGCTTTTTGTGGCGTTTGGCGTATCTGGATGGGTTCATGGAGCGGCGAGTATGTTGGTGAATCGTGAGTTTGACGATGATGGCGCGCTCAAGTGCTTTCTCGGACAGGCAGCCATCATCATGCTGGAAGATCACATCATTGACTTTGGAAAGCGGATGGGGTTCAGGGACAGTATCTTTTGGCGTGTGCTGGGGTTTTTGTGGACGATGAGCGCGATAGGGTGGGGTATTGAGGAGTGGTTTGTTAAGACTATTGCGAGGGGTATTTGGGTGCATGACAGAGAGAGAGACTTCTTTGGTATAGGGCCTGGGGTGGTTGTATAGAAGTTCTTGGTTGACTCCTCGAAGGAAAGTCTGGTGAAGCGTCAACGTTCTAGTGCAGCGTGTACTCCTTGATTGGCTTGCCGCTCTCCAGTGCTTCGCCGTGGATGTAACCATGGATGTAAACATGTCCAATATAACTCAACTTACCGCGGTGACCATCCACACAAAGCGAGATGAGAGCCAAACAGCCAAAAGGCACTACAGTGACGCCGTGGTGGTTCATAAAGCCAGTTCCCATCCTTATGGGAAAACTTACAGAGTCTTCAGCTGTCGTGTGTCAGCCAAACTGCAGCTCGTTCGCTGGCCATAACAAAGAATCCATTAGACAGCTATCAGTTACTGTCAGTGTTGCGTGCTCAGGATGGACGAAGCATGTCTGGTGGCAAAACTGTGGTATAATGATAAAAAGCTGGTGACCGGTTCTCGTGACTAGACACGAAGCCCAATTGCCCGGCCATCTCGAATCCAACTGTGTACGCGCATTTGGCGGGAAACCTACAGCTACTGTACTTATATCTGTGATAAGAATGAGGATTCTGGTTGGGTTATCTTATGCACAGTGGGCAAAGCATACCAACCGCACATCCGCCCAGCCTAGTCCTCCAAGTGAGCATGCAAAACGGCTCGATCGTAAGGCTCATGTCCCATAACGCCATATATGCATACATGTTTGCAGCTAAATTTACATGCGAACAGCACATCTCATTCCTGTTTCTTTGCATCTATTCATAACCCTTCATAGCCTCGCCTGCCCTCTGCTCGATGTAGTATCCGGGATCCGGTCTCCTCGCGGCGCGCATTTGCTCCTTAGTCATCGCGCTCTTGACTTCTTTGACATCAACCAACTCCTTTATCCTCATGATTTGACCAGCGACGGACTGTGTTACGGGGTGGTAGACGGTCGTCATGCGTTTGCGGAGGCCGAGCGCTTTGAGTACACCTTGCGTCTTCTCAGGCATGCCAATGCCGGAGCGCATGAGTGTTATCCGGAAATAAGACATTGTGGATATGTGACGTGGAGGATAAGTGCTTTCGAGAGGTTTCGGCGCGTTTGCGAGCGTGGATAGAAGTGGTGGGTGACGGGTTGTGGCGTTTGGTGTGTATTTGGTGACAGCGCAGGGGTGGGATGGGCTGGCGAGATGTCAGATTAAAGTGCAACGAATGCCTTGAACAGCTCCGCCTACCGTCTGTATGGATGGATAGCGTCGACGCTCGCCTGCGCGCTTGCGATTACTGTCGTCAGTCAACTTTTCGGACTTTGAAGATATGACGCCTGTCCCGATGGGGCTTAGCTCGCCGCGGAATGAAAACCAACATCCTTCGACGTTCGTACTCCACCCTATTCTTCGTACATCTCATATGTGAGATGCTCATAGTATCATGGCCAGCGGACGCCGCTAAGGAAGTGGCGGTGAGAATATGCTGACAGGTGTAATCGCTACTCCACGCAGGCGGCTTTCCTTCCGTGTCTCTGGAGACGGTACCTACTGCGAATTCCCACCCCCATCGCAGACATGCATTGGTTTTCAATACTCGGAAGGTACCGCACGCATATAGTCTTCAATATTGTATATTTGACAAATGGGATGCAATGCCTGATACATCCCTTAACTGCATCTACCCGCTTACCTGCACGACCCCAGCAATTTAGTTCTCATGAAATGACACATCGGCAGCATCCCTCCCTATACGCCTCTAACAATCCGAAAACCCAAGATTCAAAGCTTTTGTCCTGCCTCCAGTCGAATCAGGAGCCTCCTTGGAGAATTCACTTTTCCATGCCGGATTGGATCTATTGTCGTCACCAATTTTCGATGTCTGCATGTTTTCACTCTTCGTCGATAGTTTATTTCCCTACTATTCTCATCTTCTTGCGCGATCTTTTCTATTCTAGAGTCTCCGATCAAGACATATCTGTAGTTTCAACTCTGTCTCGCTAAGACCCTTCTACACTGACATGTCTGATCTAGGTATAGATGTTGCGGGTGAATGCAAGTGACCGTGACCTGCATATCAAACGGACATCGATCGGGAAAGGCATTTGAAGCGTTAACACTGAGGACCTGCACCACATGCACTTGGCCTAAGCTCCTCCACCAAACGAGGAACCCAACTACGGCACTATACTTCGATACTGAATGTATCACGACGGTCCCCACAACCCGGTTTGACCTGCTGACGGCACGAGGCGTTGGATGTCGCTGTCTCTTTGTTGGCTTTCGGGAAGTCAACACTCGAGCAGACGAAATGAAGTCCATGTTCCGTCGGGGAAGGAAGCCAACATGAACAACGAACTCTTGATTCAGATGCATTTGTACCGTTTGAACGGCTCTTTTGACCGCTTCTCTGCGTATCAGAGGTTATATGGGTGTATAGCGATATAAGAAATGATTCTGGTTCCTACTGTAACGACTTCTCCAGAAAAGTTCCCGTTCTTAGGTTTCTGATCACCATTCCTGGAATACGTCGTACAATCCTACAAAGAAGGTCACCTCCAGCAGAACATCTCTTTAGCTACATTCTATATCCAACCAGAGCTTATCTTCGGAGACGCATCGAATCCAGTGTCACCATGACAGGTAAACTTTCAGATTATCGCAAGTTTTTCCAAAATCATATACTGATATCAAAAACAGCACTATACACGCTCACGCAGCCCCATTCTATCTATGCACCATCTGGGTCAACCTCTGCCCCTACCGCCTGGCCAGCTCAAGTCTACCGCGTGCACCGCACAAGCTCTCAGACTCGATACTCCTTCTCCACAGGCTTCAGTTCTAAGAACCAAACCACCATCGTCAACTACACCTCTGCACTGTCTCGATTTGGCCTTGCCCACCTCAATCAGCAAACCAACATCTCCTCTCCCTTCATCAGCGTCTATGAAAACCTAGCTCACGCAGAAGCAGTAGCCAAACACTTTGGTGAGCGGTACAGCGAAGACACGTGGGTCGTTACGGTGGATCCGGCCCACTTTGCTCGGGGTCCAGTGTTTCGTGCGATGGACATACTAAAGGACAGTTCTGGTGGTAAGGATGCAAATGCCGAGTGGTTACATTATGGGGAGTATCTGGTCATGTATCGCATCCCACCCCAGGCGATACGCGATGAAACGCCTATTTGCCGGGGTGCGGATCAGCGGTGGAGAGCTGTCGGTGTTATTGGCGGTAGCAAGTAGGTGTGGTGGTGGATAGCAATACTGATACGACCAGATGGTTGGAGCGTACTTCAGCTGCTTACCAGGCTCGGCTACGTCGGCTCGCATTGTCGAATCTATTTTCCTTTTTCTTTGAGATGGTCGTTGGTGATTTTGTTGGAGTTATGTTTGCTCGATAGTCCACCTCCTAATTTTGGCTCTCACTCTCGCGAAAGCTCGTTACAGCTTCCAGCCGTTCGAAAGCCTGATTGAAACACCAATCGATCCCACTCCAGAGTGCGTTGATGCCTAACCACAGCGGAAAGTATTCAAACCCATGCGTTGGCTCTTCTTCAGATAGTAAAATTGGTGCAGTGATCTTATAAGCGGCAGGAAGGCTTTTCTGTCGTAGCGATGAACGAGAGTTCTTGTTGCGTCGTTGAGGTGATTTTGGAAAGAAATTAACCCGAAGCTTTGAGTGCGGATTTGGCGATGGCATGGTGGGGACGAGTGCGCTGTGTCGGATGTCGTTGTCAGTTATGAAGTTTAATAATAGATTTTGAAGATATGGTGTATATGAAACCGCCCGTAGTGTGGGTGACAAGAAAATACAAAAGTCTAAACCCAATAGAAGCACAGGCGCGTGTTACATGAATTTACATTGTTGGTTGCATCGAATAGCTCTGAGAGGGACTGCGTAGTGGCTGTGATGCGTGAAGTTTGGTATTGGTTCACAGGTCCACGGTACTAGTTACCGCCCCGAAAAGTATCATACGTGTGAGTTGAACCGAGCTCCCGATACCTTAAACTAATCAAGGCTGATCTCTCAACTCCTTGGAGCGCCCCTAGCCTTGGACCCGAGCATTGTCGCCACGTGCCCATCATCGCTTTGCGCTGCCTGTATGGCGTTACGAACATACCACCTAGCGCAGACGACTAACACGAAGGCCATCAGCGAAGTGTCAGACACGTCGGTGGGCCATGCGTTCACGAGGAGATATGCAACAGCTTTCTCGTCTTAGCATTCAACTCAAGACAGACAAACGAAGTTTACCCACGTCCCATGGCGTACTCAATAACCCTAAATAAATTTCTTACGGTATGAGAATGCTGACGATACCTAGGTATATAGAATTTGTAATTAAAGTAGCTAGTTGAGTGACTTGGACTTGGGCTCTTTGGCACTATACTGGCTTATCCGCATCTGCCAAATCGCAGCTACACCGGCGAAGAATCTGATTATCACCATTTGCAAGCATAAACCTGCAAGAATGACTCCTTTGCTGAGGTTTGCACTGGAGTTGCTATTGCTGCCTGCGAGAATACCACCCTCTGTAGCCTGGACGAGAAAATAGATTACATCGCCTCCAACAAAGATCCTTGTGTCCAGACATAACTGTCTTGGCTGAAAAATACTTGACTAGGAATATGTCTGTAGCGCCAAGCTTTGTACATGAAGTAAAAATTCGATAAGAAGCTATCTATCCCGTTTCTACTGAAGGCATGCAAAGTTGACAGAATACGATCACACTCTTCTTGATGTGGCCATGGATCTAGTGCTCCATCTGTGCAGAACATGGACCCACCAAAGGATAGCTCTTTACCTCAACCGAGATAGCATGCCGCTCAAGAATGGCAGCCATCTTCAACCATATTTGTAAAGCCCCCTCGTGTGTATCGCCCAAACAACAACTCGCCAAAGAGCACGCTTGCCATGACCGTAAATAGAAATCCGATATTGTAAGTCATGACAGCAAGCATCCTAACGAAGTATTAGTATTGCGGTCATTTTTGCTACAGTTTTCGTCAAAGACATACAGAACATAGCCAATCAGTGCTCGAACAAATTCTAAAGCAGCGCTTATCCCATCTTTTCTTATGCTCCAGGGTGCTTGCCCTATCCAGAAACTCTTTGGGGATACGTGTCGGTGTCGTGTGAGGCCAATTTCCTCAGCCTCTATTAATCGCGGTTCTGCTGGACTCAAGGGCTCGATCTCTTGCCTCTCTTTATCATCCATGTCAAAAGGCTGCTGTCGTACGGCACGGCTCCATTGTCGAGCGCGGCCACGAACATTGTGACCGAGCTTCTCCCTGTTAGGTATGGAAGGCAAGGTGCTCTTAGTCTCGTGCTGTCCTCTCCATTTCATCTCCAACTGGCTTTTGAGCGCACTAAGGAATCGGTTGAAGATACCCAGGAAAAAGAGGAAGAAGACAGTCAACACATAGGTTGTCGTTGTTGTCGTTGTCCATTCGGTGAACCATAGGGTGACATGCGTACTGCTCGAGAAGGTCGATGCCATTCCAGCCATGCCCATGGCTGATATGGAAAATTGAGGACTTGCGGCTGGCATGCGATGTGTATGAGCAGAGGTCGAGGTTGGTGTTGACACCCCCATGTTCATCTCCATCATTGTATCCGTATGGCTCGATATTGAGACGTCATTAGTTAGCCTCTATGGGCACCAGATACCAAAGAAAGAGTTGAAGAGACTGAAAAGGCCGATCCTGCAGTGCGAAGGATATGTCAACTGTCACGATGTCAAAGAGAAAATCTCTCGGTTATGGACCACAATTAAGAGATGCAAAACGATGACAATCGCCAAGATCGCTAGGAACTATGATACGCAGATGTATGCCATCAGATGAGCAGATTTGAGGGCATAGGCACGCTACGGCCCGCAATGCGGATTCGCCACAGTCCGTTTTTAGATTCATCGCAATGGTACTTATGGGGCTTGATTGCGCTGTCTCTAGGATTTCATGTCGCTACGGTGTCGGCCTTGAGCTGATGATGGGTTGCAGATTTAAGCCATTTACTAGAATAGTGTCAGCAGGCTCTGCCAGCAAGGATCGTCAAATATCCTC